GAAAAGTAATTGGCTGCAAGCCAGATCTGCATGCCTGTTCAAAATCATACGCATATACAAAGTTCTGTGGATGACTGAGTCCAGGGCGTGAACTAGCAGCTGCAGAGCAGCATAATAATGTCCTCCAGACCGAATTTCGGTCACGGCAGCCTGCCTCAACGGAAACTAGTCATCGTCGCAGGACAGGATTATAGTGCCCAAGTATATGCGCAAGCACAGGTGCACTCTCTATTCTCTCACTCTCATAATGCGATGGAACGGTAAACCGACACGATCAAAGAGAGATCAGTCGCAGGAACAACCGCTTTACGTGCTTTCCGAGACACGGGGGTGAGACACCGCCAATTTTCTGACTCCGAGCAGCTACTGACAATTTCTTGACGAAAAAACTCAATAGTTGATTTTTAGGCCCGACCCGGGATTCGAAGCCTCATGATCAGCAGTCGCACTAGTACAACCACTAGACCAACGAGGCAGAACATACGTTGACAGTGACAAACATTGTAGGTAAGCCGTTGCGAAATAATTGCCGCCACAAAAACATCTGGAGCCGTCGACAAACTCCCACAAACTGCGATACAACACTGCAGTAAAACAAGACTTGCGCAGACGCGGCGCGCTAATGGGAAAACACAGCGCATACGGTGGTGACACCGTGTTGTAGAGCCACTGCGCCGTGTCAGTGAACAAACTTCAACAGCGGTGCTTTATACAACACTGATAACCGTGTCTACACACGGCGAACAAACCGTATTTTTTCACGGCAAAAAAATTTGCGTGTACAACAGGCCTTACAGGGAACAAAAGAACGTTCTTATATGTAAATTTGTGGGTGAGTTATTTAATTTTACTTAGCACTTGTAGTCCCAATTATTTCTTATATTTACTCGAACACTACACATTGATTAAAACTACTTTTACTTTTAATTTTAATTATTCTTATTTCTAATTCCCGATGTTTCGCTTGGGACCCCATCATCAATAAAATTAATACTAAACCCACTTGCAAGACTTCAAGACATAGTCAGTTCATTTTGCATAGATCGGACCATAAACAACAATTAAAAAAGCTGAAGGTACTCCGGGTTTAACAATGACATCGGGACGTCAGTCACCTCAGTCCCCCGTGACCATGGGTGCTGGAAAGCACCCGAAACGTCGCGAATTAAAAATAAAAATAGTTAAAATTAAAATTAAACGCGATAAAATCTGTAAAAGTAGTTTTAATCAACTTGCAGTCCTCTTAAATTGACTTGCATTATTTGCAAGTGCAAGCTATACTACGTAAAAATAAACAACAAAGCATTAATACTTCACTTGCGTTACGTGTGTCTTGTTACGCATATTTTGTAATACACGGTCGTTTCGAGTGACATGTGTTATATAATTAAATTATTACCAGTACCTGTCATTTTTTGAACAGTGCACTTTATGCGTAATAAAACCATAAGTACACCGTTTATATCGTTATGATAAGATAAATAGCTTATCCGTCTTCTATCCAAGGAGTAGTTAGTGTGATAAAGTTCTGTTTTTTATGAACTAAAATCACATAGGTAACAGTTTACGGTATTTTTTTGAAAATTAATTCCTCATCATGAACAAAAGAAACGATTTATTAAGTTCTATATGGCTATTTTTACATTGGATTTGGAACCGAGGAGCCGCAAGGATGACTATCGATGACAATAAGGTTTTATTTTTTATTTTTGTTAGTTTGTTTTTCGAAATAACAAGTTTGTTAATTTACAGAAAATAATTAATTACGCGAGTTAACATACTTTGCCTCAATGCTGCATTTTATATTTAGTTCATGGCCTTAATTGTTTGATTGCAATATAATAAAATTATGATCTATGACAACGATTATATAGATTTGCGAATATTTATTATTTAATAGATTCATTTCCCCGTTTTAGTCCACTAGTAACGGTTGATTACCACTAATAACTTTATCCTGACTATATTATAAGTTATGATGTTTTTATTAATGACCTGATAGGTATATTTTTTTTAATAAAAAATTAGTGACCCACCCCGACTTCATCTGGTTACGATCTATGAACGCAGCATTATTTATATTTAAGACGAACAAAGACCATTTATTTTATATATATATATATATATATATATATATTTTTTTTTTTTTTGGTATGTTAGATTACTTCTGGCATTGCTGTCCGTCTGTTTATAAAATTTCTTACCAATCTGTTCAATTCCGAAGACTAGCAACGACAAACAGATAAACATACAGACAGACTAAATTTTTAAAGTGGTAATTTTGTCTTTATAGCTCGCAGATTATCCCCGGAGCTCAATAGGTGTCAGTTATTTCAATATTAAACTTGAATTCAACGCAAATAAAATTATTACCATCTAAACAGATGAGTATATGAGTAGTATATGGGGACACTACTTATTTTCCGTTATTTATGAAATTAGAAGGGTGAAATTTGGAAGTCAATGGATGCGAATCGAAATAGAATTACTGCCTCGTTGATTGTGTCGTAAACGTGATTGCTAAAAATTATAAATTTTTTTAAATAATTTTTACTGATCTTGTGGGTCCTGACCTGATCTCTCTCCGGTCGAGTCGGAATTACTGTCCTATCAGAATATGAGAGTGACGAAATGGAGAACGCAGCGTTGCTTGCATACTATTTTGAAACCATACGTCACACTAGTCCAGAAGGAATAGGCGCATGAGTACCGGAAACTATTCCACCTCAATTTTTTTATACGATTCTCTTCAAATTTTCCTACTAATGATATAAATGCATGTTGCCAGGGGGCAACTCGGTGCCATTTTGTTTAAGCCTTTTTTTTCAATTGCAAGCAATTGTTATTTTCAAACGTTACAATCATTTAATTCATTAAAAATATGTAAAGAAATGTATAAAAAATTATCTAGTTTGGGGATGTTATTAATTATTGCGTAAAGAATATAAAAAGATATTATAAAAAAGATAATAATCTTTTATTTTTTATTATTTTTCTTTATATATTTTAATGACTTAAAAGTACCCGTTTTTACTCGTATTTTATCAAACAATATAAAAAGAATTTTTATTTTTTTTTATAATTTTTTTATTTTTTTTATAAATTTTGAAAGGGTCAAAGTATCAAAATGTGGGATTTTTTAAACTTTAAAAAAATCTTAACTCCTAAAGTATTAACTTTATCCTAAAAATATATAAAATTTATAAGAAAATTTGGAAAGAATCGCATAAAAAAATTAGGTGTAATAGTTTTGACACATGTGTCGATTTCTTCTGGACTACACAGAAAGTTTTGCGAAAACCAGTTCTATTTTGCATGACACACTGGCCAATTATAATTTATTCAATTACGATTAAAGTATTAACAAGTGAAATAGTTCTAATTCAAAATCTCGCCCCACATTTTGACGAGATAAAGTGAAGTATCGTGTTTTCTTGAAAAATATTTATCTGCTTCAGAAACATTTTTCCCGGAACGATTTCTTACGATTTTAAATGTTGCCTAAAACCGTACAATCGTTTGATAAACTTCAAAAGGCGTTAATGGACAGAGACCCTTTTAACGTCACCGCGTACTGCTAGTAAAACACATTTCCGACGGTCGTTTAACTTTGAGAGATGAAACAAAAAGGTGGTAACGCTTTGACGGCTATTACGGACGGAAACGTCTTTGCGGTGCAAAATATAATTGAAGAGAACAGCTGAATTATGTTGGTATAGATTATTGGAGATTGGATTTAAGTACAATTCATCATATTTTAACCGAATAGAATACCTTCGTATGAGGAGGATGATGGCTTCTTAAATTTACGTGAATATTACATATTAAATAAAACTAATTCTATGGATTATATAGCGTTTAATTGTTACCCTTTAATTCCCGACGTTTCTTCTTCTTGTGTACGTGTGTTTGTCACTGAAATCCTAATAAAAGACTCAACCAATTTTGATGAAACTTTTTGTGCATGTTTGTCCTAATGGCCGGGCATTCCGAAATCAGCAGTACGAACTAGGGCGGATCGCTAGTACATATATGATAATGTTATAGCGGCCTTAAGCACTCATCATAAATGTCATAGTAAGTACATGTGGGCATCCTTAGTTCGATCCCCCTTAGAAAAAATATTTAGTTCAACGTGAAACGCTAATTTAGTAATTGCTCCACGGGGAAGGTAAAATTTTGTGATGAAATCTGCATCTCAGATGCATAAAATAATTCCAGGACATTTGAAACTCGCCAATGCGCTGTAAAGCAGTGCGGTGAACTTATTGCTCCATTACTATTACTCAATGATGAAGGGAGCCATGTGCCCCGAAGAAGAACGAATATATACTGTACCATAAATGCTCCCTTTCTTCTTACAAAATCCGCTTTTAAATAGAATAGATCCTAGAGAGCCGTGGTTGCTCGGAGGCTAAGCGTTGTAAATATCACAGTACGCGAGCAACCTGCATTCAATTCCCGCGTGTGAATTGCCAAGTATTTAGCGGTAAAGGAAACCTATAACTTTAAGTTCTATAATCTCTATAACTCTTTCAGAAATGAAAAAAGGAAACATAGCATTATAATATAACATACATTAACGTAAATATATACAATAATTTTTACGCACTCTTACAAAATACCAGCGCAAATTAGCAGGTTAGCGTTGCTGAGTTTCGTATGGTGAGTGTAGAGAACCGGAGACACTTTTTCACTGGATACATAAGGCATACCGTTTTAGTTGACGGGTGACAACAGATTTTTTTTGATGCTTAATTGAAGATAAATGGGGATGTCTAAGGACTACAGCATCTATTTACTACCACATGGGTTGTGTGCTCGTTTGCCACCATTATTCAATAATAAAAATATAAAAAGAATACCTGTTAAGGTATGTGTCATTAGATTTATGTCTACGTTTGGCAGTAGACTTGTTAAAAACGGTAATGATGATGATGAGGATGATATGGATATATTATAAAGAACTATAGTGAAAAACAGTACATCTTTTCTCCCAGGTTCCTGAGGCGGATATGTCTGTTATCACGGATTCTTACGATCTTGAAAAGGAGTATTCTCCAAGCAGATGGTCAACCAGGTTTTCCACCGCGCAGAAGGTGCTGCAACATCATGTCCAGTTTGTCACTGAAGGTAAGAGATTAGTAATTCTGTTATGACTGGAACAGATAAAAATCTGTTGACGCGTGATCTGGGAGTAAGGGGAGTGTGGTGAATTTTCCCAGCTGAACTTGATACCTGTAATTTTTGCCACACGTTCCTAGGCATTGTCACGCAGGTTATTAATCTGGTGATATTATGAACGCTTTTCCTAAACCCGACACGTATGAGGCTTACCGTCTACCGTTTACGTTAAAACCTTCCAAATGTCTAAATGACTAAATGTCTAGATTGATCCATACGGGAGATTTGCCACAGTTGCCACACTTGAGTGGTAGAGCCATATTGCAGCTATATTACTGATATAGTTGTAGCACGAATGGGTCGGCTCGACCGGGAAAGGACCACGCTCTTACAGGATACGAGCGTCAAATAGCAGCGTAACGCTGCTGTGTTTCGTACGGTGAGTGTAGAGAACCGGATACCCTTTATACTGGAATCAAGGCATTCCATCTTAGTTCTCACGGGTGACAACGCATCTGCATTTTGATTTGTAATCGAGGATAGATGTAGATGTCTATGGACCGCAGTAACCACTTACCATCAAGTGGACTGTGTGCTTGTTTGCCACCTTTATACTATAAAAAAAATTTGACAGTGAAGATGGCGACCGCAGTTTTTTTCTTCAAATAATTTATGGGTTATTGAACTTTTAGCAATCAACCTTACGTAGGTATATCGATAATATAGTACGCAACCGTCGACATTGTTCCAAAACTGATAACTATTTCGGTGTTTTGCAGTTATAATAGGTACCTTTTAAAACATTTAAAATAAATTTCATTAAAGTTAACATTCAAAGACGATATAAAAATTTAAAGCTATAAATATTTTTTCTCTACTACTGTTCTGTAGTAATGACAAGGCAGCAGACTAAGATAAAATATCAGCATAGTTCATAGTTTATCTTTTAAAATATTATGCCATTCAGCGAGGAAACCCTGTCAGCGTTCTTGGCATTATAATTGCGAAGAGAATAAATATAAATATACAATAATAATAATCATATGAACTATAAGTTTTGAGCATTTTACTGTTGTTTCCAAATAAATTATTATAATAATAATAAATAAATTGTTTTTCGTAATTTAAAATAAATTATAAAAGATTCCACAATAGTTCCTCCTTTATCCTGCTCGATTAAGAACCAAAATGTAGATACGTAGTTTCTCTGGCGACTAAGATAATTCTATATTACCAGTAATAACAGTCTCCGGTTCTCTACACTCACCATTCAAATCAAAGCAGCATTAAGCTGCTATATTTGACGGTGGTGTTATTTGTGAACATAGTCCTTCCCCGGTCAAGTCAATCCACCCGTACTGCAACCATCATATCTAGGTGTTGAGACTCATTTTGCTCTAGTTGCTCGGAGCTACTTAGGGCTCCATTTTTGCTTATGAGTACGTCTGGGAAGGTATCACCAGGTAGCAGTGTTTGTACTGCTGAGTTTCGTTCTGAAGGTTATAGAGAGCCAGTATCATCACAGGCTGTGACGCGTTCCATCTTAGTCCTCAGAGTTGACAACATAACTGTAGCATTCTTACTGGCAAGTGTCCATGGACTGCAGTAACCACTTATTATCAGGTGGAATAAAGGACGTTTGCCACTTCAGTTTTATAAATAAAAGCGCCTATAAATAAAATTATCGCCTGGCTAACACATTACAGAAGGAATTCCTACCTTCAAGCAGCAGTTCATTTTCTTCTGTGTTCTGGTATTAAGGATAAAGAGTGAGTATGACTACATGTTGTTAGGTTTTCATCCTCCATCCAGAGGTGGTCATTCTTTGAGCTCTAGGATGGAAAACCTGTGCTACAGTAGTGAATTACCACCAGGTGGAGTACTTTTACAACTCCAATCTCAAATTTAGAAAAAATAACAAAGAGAATCTAGTATGTTTTGTAGTTAGTGTGCTACAGTAGTGAATTACCACCAGGTGGAGTACTTTTACAACTCCAATCTCAAATTTAGAAAAAATAACAAAGAGAATCTAGTATGTTTTGTAGTTAGTGTGCTACAGTAGTGAGTTACCACCAGGTGGAGTACTTTTACAACTCCAATCTCAAATTTAGAAAAAATAACAAAGAGAATCTAGTATGTTTTGTAGTTAGTGTGCTACAGTAGTGAATTACCACCAGGTGGAGTACTTTTACAACTCCAATCTCAAATTTAGAAAAAATAACAAAGAGAATCTAGTATGTTTTGTAGTTAGTGTGCTACAGTAGTGAATTACCACCAGGTGGAGTACTTTTACAACTCCAATCTCAAATTTAGAAAAAATAACAAAGAGAATCTAGTATGTTTTGTAGTTAGTGTGCTACAGTAGTGAATTACCACCAGGTGGAGTACTTTTACAACTCCAATCTCAAATTTAGAAAAAATAACAAAGAGAATCTAGTATGTTTTGTAGTTAGTGTGCTACAGTAGTGAATTACCACCAGGTGGAGTACTTTTACAACTCCAATCTCAAATTTAGAAAAAATAACAAAGAGAATCTAGTATGTTTTGTACTTAGTGTGCTACAGTAGTGAATTATCACCAGGTGGAGTACTTTTACAACTCCAATCTCAAATTTAGAAAAAATAACAAAGAGAATCTAGTATGTTTTGTAGTTAGTGTGCTACAGTAGTGAATTACCACCAGGTGGAGTACTTTTACAACTCCAATCTCAAATTTAGAAAAAATAACAAAGAGAATCTAGTATGTTTTGTGGTTAGTTAGTTAGTTAACGAGTATTTTGAGTTAGTATTTTACATTAGTATTTAAAATAATACTCCAATTAAGATAATTAAAGAAAATGAACAATCGTAAATAATAATTATTGTTTCATTTCAGCCAGCGACAAAGCCACCAATAAAGTCCCACATAAATTGGAAATTGAATATGGTTCAACTCCCGGACAGAAGTTAGATATTTTGGGTACGGATTTACCAGATGGTGAGTTTAGAAAAATAAATTATCAATTATCATGTTATAACCTTCAAATGATCACTCGTTTACTTCAGATTAAATTTGAGTCTCAATACTATTTATCTGTTGAATTTTCAGAAATACTAATGCAAGCTAAAAGTATATTTATCACATGTATCTATAGATATGTGATTATTTATTAATTTAAAGTGTTGGTCGGCCACTAATAGATGCACCTGGTAAGATCTCCTAAATGGGTAGATCTACGCTACTGCTCTATTATGATTGCAGCAAAATTAGGTCGGCTTGACCGTTGAAGGAACACTCTCTCGCAGTATCAGCATAAAAAGCGGCCTAATGCTGTTGTGTTTTTGTGATGAGCGTAGAAAACCTGAAACTTTTTTACCAGTAAGTAGGCATTTCATCTTAGTTAACAGGGGCGATAAGGTATATATATTTTAGTTTTTAATCCATGATAGATGTAGGCGTTTATGGGCCACATTTTCCACTTAACATCAGGTGGACTGTGTGCTCGTTTGTTAGCCTTTTTTATTTAAAAAAATCATGCAGGAAGGCGATGAATGCAGTTGACTCAATACCGTGTTTCCTAACATACCTTACGGGAGGCCACGTTTAGCAGTGGCCTGATACAAATGTTGTTAGTAAAATCAGAGAATCTTGTAACCTCCCTACACAATATACTATATATTAAAGTTATATTGCATTAAAAATAAAACATAATTTAATTTTATATTTTCTATAAATACACATATTGCGGTATAAAATGACTTAGGGGGATCTAAACGACGCAGTAAACTATGAATTAAATATTTATAATACAGATATTAATAGTTACTTTGCTACCATCCGCTCAATTAAATAAAATGTTGTGTTTTAACTAGTTTGAAGAGCACCTCTCGCCCTCCCTCAATTGCGTGCACTAATCCCGTCACCACTAATCCCAGCACCACTACTCCCAACACCACTATTCTGGGAAAGACACACCATCGACGATAATACGACACGTGTTTTGCCTCTACACGAAGCATCTTCAGGTGATGTAGACTCTACGGCGGCTGACCGCTAAGTCACTGAGCGGATGGTGGCAAAGTAAGTATTAATATCTTTATTATAATGGATTTCCGCAAAGTAACGCCTGATTCTATCAATTATCTTAAATATTTATGTAACCTCAATATATTATTTTAATCGGTTAATTAGATCTGTTATGATTCAGAAAACAAAGATTGTTGACATGGCTCTGACAGTGCAAAGATCATTTCAAAAAATATCTCTTAGCTCTATAGCTTTTTGCTTAAAGTATAGCCTAGATCCTTCCTGGCAGTATTCTCTATCAATTCTTGATGTTTCACACAATTGGTTAAGCCACTAAATTTGAAAAATGGTTATTTATATCTAAGTAGCCGTGGTAGCTCAGATGGTTAACGCTCGCTGTAAATATAATAGAACGCGACTAACCCGGGTTCAATCCCCGCCAGCACCAATGAAATTGTTAAATGCAATTTGTGCTGGTTTACCACGTGCTCGGCGTATTTATATGGCCTACAAGTCATTGTTCCATGGTTTTCCATGTGCAATTTATGTTTGTAAACTGCCTCCACGACACAGGAGAAAATTCTATTGCGGGGGTAACGTTTTTTAAAAAAAAACCCTGAGCACAATTTACGGTAGTTACTTCGATATTACAGACAAACGCTTAAATTTTATTTATATGTATAGATAAATAAAAAAATATACCTTGTTTTTTGAAGGTATTCTTGGCAACATTGTGCAAACTAATTAATAAATAGGGTTTAATACAAAGCACCTGGTATAGCAATTGCCAAAAGTACATAATAAGTACACGCACTTTATTTGGTCTTTCTTTGGTGATGCACTCGTGTAGTTTGTTAATGTCATCTAATAAGAAATCCTTCATAATAATTTGTTGAAAAAACTTCTTCACAAGATGTTGAGAACTACGGAGATTTTAAGAGATTGTGAAAGTAGCTTGAGGCAGCAGAAAGTTGATGACGATAGTATCTCAGGTTTGTAAACATCCGAGCACATGTTTCATCGTTACTACTATTCTATGACTCCTAGCTTGAAAGCTATGTACATTAAACACACAAAATCACACCACTTTAATGCATCAAAATCCACTTCAACTCTTTATTTAAACAATAATACAGGAGCAACAATCTGCAGGTGATCAAGTTCCTGCCAAAATACCCAATTACTACTTTTTTATACATTTATACGATATAACCTGTACTGAATTTCATTATGTTTATAATGTTGTACATAACTGTTTAAACCCCGGTCATGTCATTGCAAGGGAATACGAAAATAAGCCACTGTTATTTTCATATACTCCATTAAATTTCAAATTAAAACAACAGTTATTAAATTACGACGAAGTAAATAATGCTCTAACTAAGTTAGTCAATTGGTTTAATGTTAATAATTTGCATTTAAATGGAACTAAAACTAAATGTATGAAATTCGTAACTCCTAATGACAAACATGCATTTGTATTAAACAAATGTAATTTTAAATGGGGAAGAATTGAGTCTTGTGAGATTTTTTGAGACGCAAAGCTTCAATGGCTCCCCCATATATCAAAACTAGCTAGCAGACTTAGTTCTGCAGCATATGCTGTAAAAAAGATTAAAGCAACTCTTACCAGTGTTGAAACAGCTAGAATAGTTTACTTTAGTTATTTCCATAGCATTTTGTCGTATGGTATTTTGCTATGGGGACACGCGACTGACACTGAAATAATATTTATTTTACAGAAGAGGGCCATTAGAGCAATATATAATTTAAAACCGAAAGAGTCACTGAGACAAAAATTTAAGGAAATTAATATATTAACTCTGGCCTCTCAATACATTTATGAAAATGTAATGTACGTACACAAGAATAAACGTAGTTTTGCAAAAATAAGTGATATTTATTCCGTAAATACTAGGAACAGACACAAGCTAGTAGTACCAGTTACTCGACTCCACCGAGTCAGTAATTCATTCTTGGGGGCGATGTATATATACACTTTTACAACAAAATTCCAGAAAATATACAAAGTTTGTCATACGCAAAGTTAAAAATTATTATTAAACTAAGTTTGTATAAAAATGGTTATTATAATATTAAGGAAATTACGGATGATAATAACCCCTGAGAAGGGTGATCGCTACCAAGCTATTTCTAATTTGTCCGGTGTTGTTCATTGTAAACATGATTGTAAGCTATTATTGGAAAAAAAATAGTCCCGCTGGGTTTCTTGCTGGTTCTTCCCAGGACAGAGGTTTTTTTTTGCGAACCAGTGTTAAATGAAAAAATTGAATTTCAATAAGTATTGTTTATAATCTACATTGAATAAAAAAATTTTTGTTTCTGTTTCTGTTTCATATAAACAAAACAAAGTAAGGAATATATTTATACAAATTTATCGCCATAATTATCAACTATTTATCACGACAAAACTAAAATATTCGTAATGAATTCACAACTGTCAAAGCCATGTCACATCACAATGTTTGTTTTCTTAATTATAACAGATCAAATCTATCTAATTAACTTGTTAATATAATGTTTGTTTTCTGAATTATGACAAATCAAATTATTGTTAATTAGGTAACTAATTAACTGATTAAAAAATCTTCTGTAGTCTCATAAATATTTAATTTAAAATTTTTATACCGCAATACGTGTATTTTTAAATTTAAATGACGACACATTATTAAATCCCACGAAGAAAAACCGAGACGGGTTGATAGTTAAAAATTTAATTTTGGTTTGGTAGTACCGCATCAGTAACGCTTTTTAACTTTGTCTCTCGTCGGCCTTGAAATATTCCATGGCTAATTTTAACCTATCCATATATTTGCTATACTTGTTAACAATTTGTAAATAAACGAACATATTAATAACATATTGGTCTTTAATTAAAAAGGGTAGGCTTCTCGCCAGTATATTAATAGGTTATAAAATAGTTGATATTCTATTTTGTAAAGAATACTGAACATACAAAGACCTGTTCACTCTAAGCTTGAAAATCTACGTTGGAATCGAATCGAACAGCATGCTTTTTGCACAATAAAGTAGACCGTTTTGTTCGAATGTATCCATCGTATAGTATATTGCACACGTTCTTGTAATAAAATACGTTCTTGTGGTTGTGCCTCGTTGCACCGCTGTTCATGAATCTGTAACTTTTTTAAGTTCGCATAGTGCATACGAGATTTATACCTGAATCTATGTTTATACCTGATAATGTATATGAAATAAATAAGAATTATCAAAATCGGACTACTCTCAAATAAATTACCCCTATTTTCCCATCCTTAGGTAATTTTTTTTCCAAATTTATATGGAATCAGTTTCGAGGTATACCCTATCCAGAATCCAGAAGAATTGTCAAAATCGGACAACTCTGTAATAAATCACTCTTATTGTCTCACCTTTAGAGTAAAATTTTTTTTCCAAATTTATATGGGACCAATTTCGAGGTAATACCCTATCCAATATAAAAAGAATTATCAAAATCGGATTACTCTTTAATAAATAACCCCTATTTTCCCACCCTTAGGGTAAGAATTTTTTTCCAAATTTATATGGGACCAATTTCGAGGTATACCCTATCCAATAAAAAAAGAATTATCAAAATCAGACTACTCTGTAAAAAGTTATGCGTAAAAAAATATACGCGTCGACTTGAGTACCTCCTCCGTTTTTTCGTCGGTTGAAAATTACTCTCAAGACATAATGAAAGCAATATTTAAAACATCTTCCGTCCTTAGAATATTTTAGCTAATATTGCGGTTCTGGAGAACTCCTTCATTAATTGTTAACACAAAATAACTCTCAGACATAAAGAAAACGATATAAGAAGACCTTTCGTTTTCAGAATCTTCAAACTATTGAACTGCAAAATTAGCATTGAATGAAACTAGTCTGGATTTTATTGCATTAAGTTTTATTATTGTTATATTACTAAAGTTTTGAGTGCTTTGACATCTTCTCATTAAAATTGGGATGATTTTAAGGATAGAATCTATTTACTTTTACGAGAATTTGTGGTCTATCAAATCTGATGGAATATCGACATTGATGTTTTTGTTTGATTCGATCAAATTTACTTATTTCAAATTTATATTGGGTGAAAATTAGCAAAAAGCTGTTTTTTACTTTATAAATTTTGCATGAGGATGACACAATTTTTTACTTTAAAATCTTTTTAAAAAAAGTTGTATTATTATTATTAAATTATTATATTATTATATCTAGTTATTTATGTCTTAACAGTTAGTGACACCGGAGGGAGATACTTAGAATGCCCAATTTCATAAATAAACATTTTATGGTTCTTGAATTTCACGTTTTTTATAATTCACTGACTTACTCACTCACTCACTCGCCAATAAAGTAGACCATTTCTAGGTAAAGCAGAAACTTAAAATCTGCCTCAAAGCAAACTATCGAGTGACTTTAAATTTTTTTTAAATTTCTGCGGTTTAAATAAGTTTATAAGAGGAAATTAAATTCTTAAAAAAGTTGTGAAGTAAAAACTAGGGATGTTACGGAAGTGGTTATATCGGAACCGAATTAGAACCAGAGTTTTTAAATTTAGTTTGTCGGATTACGCATATTATTATATTTAAATCACGCACATTATACATTAAAAATATATTCGGTAAGAAACTGTCTTTGCTTTAACTGATAATAATAAGCAGCACTATGAACTGCATAAGTCATCTGAATCCAATATATTCTACGAAATTGAACGGAAGATCTTGCAAAGCAATCATTTGAGGGAGGTTCCCCGCGCAACAAGTATAAACTTGTTCGTACGCACTGATAGCGGTCGCACTCATCGCTATGCATCGACTTCCGATATCACTTCCGATCAAAATTTATCAAAACTCATCAAAACCGAAATCGGAATCGAAGGTGCAAAATCAATCGGAAGTTCCGAACTATAGGAACTGGAATCGAATCTCCGTAAAATCTCTAGTTAAAACGTAAAAGGAAACGTTGAAGGTTATTAATATAAGAACCTGAAGCCAGAATTTAATTGTACATTAATCAAGGCTAATACTGTTTTAAGAAAACGTGACAGCGTAAAAGAATCTGATAATACTCATTATACGATTGTATTAGAACTTTATCACAGCTTTATTATAAGTTTCGAAAATTTATATGAGAATGGTCGATTACCAACTTTTAATCGTTATAGATCCTAAATGGTCATTAAAAAAAGACTAGAGAGACCTATATATGATTTTCAAAGACCTGATAAATGATACCCTACTTGCTTAAACCCACTTGACGTAGTTAGTCGACTTTTTTCTTTTAAGAAATATGGCGTCCTGTTGTCGCCGTATTGAATTTTGATTATTATCATGTCTTTAGTGACCCTCACAAGATTAAGATAAATATGATAATATGACGTAATCATCAAAATCGACAGACGAGTTTGGATCTTAATCACAAATAAACATAAACACATACATTTATATATAGGCTGATAAACACGTTACCCCCCGCAGACGGGTAAAAAAGGGACCAAGTTCGTTACAAAAGTTGTTCTCTTCTTCGCAGGCAATGACAGTTTTTTTTGTTATTTTGAGTTATTACTTACACCTACTGCTACAACAGTCTGATACTAGAAAATAGCGTTACCAGTGCTTTTGAAATGTTAAAAATGGTAATTTACTTAATATTATGTTAAATAATATTTTAATGGTATGTGCTTTGATAAATATTCCAATACAGACAAAACATTTTGGTGTTGAGGTGGCTTATACGTACTTCCGTTCATTTTTACAGGCTGCTTTCTTACAAAAAATTTAAAATCATTTAAATTCTTGCAATGTCATTTAATCAGAATTTTGAGGCATGAAATCGCTTAGAGTGACGAATAGAAGCTTTTGTCATAAAACGTGATAAATGAGATAGAAATTTCAGAAAAATTCGCAGATTCAAATTCGATTGCGCCGTACGAGAAAATGCGTTACTTACTTACTTAGAACGTACGTACTTAGAATTTACTAACCAGTTCTGACATTCCATCATTGCGTCGTGGATGACGGACGGACTTTAATTTCATCACGACACATCGATCGCCACCGTAACAAATTTGTTTTATTTTATAAAATATCACTGGAGCTTTTTGACTTATTACTAACAATCCAATTTCGGAATAGAGATATAATTATATTAATTGTTTTGTGCATTAAATTACTTTTGTGGTTTTGTGGTGTTTATGTTCTGTGAAAAGTATTATGTAACTTAGTCCAACTTAGTTGAACGACCGCTTATTTTAGATTAATGGAAGACGAGCGCTATTAATTTGAACAAAATCAGGAAAGCTGCTGCCCATCAACTATTCAAGATTACCTTTGTCGCCTTTATAATAATAATAATAATAATAATAATAATAACCGAAATCGGAACCCCACCAGAAGGCTTGGTGTCGGCTGGGTCTTCTCGGACTCAGCAAGCGGCACCCGCCGCTGGTGGAGCACGTCGCATGCGTTGGTCACAAGAAATGAATGCAAACGCACTGCGGGCGTACTTTAGGGCAAAAGGGGGAAGAAACTGGATGTTTGGCGTATCGGGCTAGGATGCATCGTCTTTTTGCTGAGCTGGAGCCATCTTTAATCGTCACAGAGCAAAACCTGGCAGACCGAGTTCGGTATATCTTGCGCTCAAATATATTTGATGTCGCCAAACTCGAACGGCTACGACGTGAGGCTGTTCCCTCGTCGGATGAGAATGCTACGGCTGAGGATACGGCGCCACAAATGGTAGAGCAACCCGCAAACGTGGATGCCGCCGTGAATACCCCAGTTGTGGTTGATTCAAACGATGATGGAACAGTCGCCCAGGAACTGGAATTAGAGCATATGAGGAGTATATTGGAAGAGGCGATTGTGGAAACGCGCAGTACGCCTCTCGAAAATCGACCGCGACTTCCCCGCATAGCCCTAAGCAAGCGGAATCGGGCTGTCGTGAGGGCTCTGAACCCAATGCTGGTTACCTATTTGGAAGCCAGCCGGGACCTTTGCGAGACGGACTCAATTCTTTTTGGCGCCGCGCTGGCAGTCTGCCGTATCATAGGCGCCAAGGTTTCCACGGCTGGACGCGCTACTGGCCATAGTAGCGCTATCCCAGCATGGAGAAGAAGAATTCAGGAACGTATCGCAAAGGCTAGAGCTCTCATCGGCAGACTGATATGCTTCAGATCAGGCAACAACAGGCCAAGAATTGTGCGCACCGTCAGGATGGCGTTTGCTGGGACAAATGTCAGTTTGTCCCAGCCGGATATAACGCAAAAACTGACGGAGCGCATAGATGATCTGAAGCAGAGAATCGCTGCTTGGGGAAAGCGGATTCGGCGATATACCGAGAGGTCGACACGGTTCAACCAGAATCGTCTCTTCCAGAGTGATCAGAAGAGGCTCTATGAATCATTGGAGCGACCAATGGTAAGTGGAACGGGTCCAGCACCGAATCAGGCCGACACTGTAGCATTCTGGCGCGGCCTGTGGTCAGAGCCCGTAAACCACAGCGAGGGCCCTTGGACGGAAGTTGTGGCGAGTCAGTGTGCGGGTATTACGCCCATGGACCCCGTCATCATAACGCCGGATGACGTAGCTGAGGCGGTTCGTAGGGCCCCCGAACTGGAAAAGTCCGGGACTTGACGGGCTGCATCACTACTGGCTGAAGGGGTTCATGGTGTGTCACTCTGTGCTCGCCCGACAGTTTCAAGAGGCTCTCAACCAGAAGTCGCTCCCAAGCCTCTTCACTACTGGGATCACTCATTTAGTTCCTAAAGACCAGGGTACCACAGACCCGAGCAAATACCACCCCATCACGTGTCTACCGACCATATACAAGACACTAACATCCATTTTGAGCGCGAGAATCACTTGTCACCTGGACTCAAATCAGGTGATGTCGCGCGCTCAAAATGGATGTCGGGGCGGTGGTCGTGGAACCAAGGAACCACTCCTCATTGACGCGGTCATTGGCAAAGTGGTGAAACGCAACCGTCGGAACTTCTCCGCCGCCTGGATAGACTACAGAAAGGCATTCGACTCGGTGCCCCATACATGGCTAAAGAGAGTCCTCGAGCTGTACAAGATAGACTGTACAGTTAGAGACTTCCTCGAGCAGTGTATGGGGCAGTGGAGTACGATCCTTTGTCATCTAGGCGAGCGGATGATGGCTGCGGAGAACCACATAAGGATAAGAAGGGGTATCTTCCAGGGCGATTGTCTGAGTCCAATCTGGTTCTGCCTCTCTCTGAACCCTCTCAGTACCTTACTGGAGGGCTCCGGGAGGGGATTTCAGCTACGGAAAGGAGGGACAAAAGTGACCCACCTTTTCTATATGGATGACCTCAAGTTATTCGCCTCCAGTCGCTCCCATCTTATGGAATTGCTAAACATCACTTGTGAATTTAGCAATTCCATTGGAATGGAGCTGGGGACGGATAAGTGTGCGGTCCTCCATGTTGAAAGGGGAAGGGTTGCTAACTCTGAGGGCGTAGACTTATCTATGCCCGTCAACTTAAGGACCCTTTCCGAGGCTGAAACATACCGATACCTGGGTATGTCACAAAACATCGGTATCGATGAGACTGGTATGAAACAGTCAGTTTGCGACGTGTTTTATGCACGCTTGACCATAGTGCTTAACAGCCTTTTGTCCGGTGTGAATAAGGCACACGCATATAACGGCTGGGTCATGCCTGTCCTCATGTATACCTTTGGCATACTCAGGTGGACTCAGACTGAACTTAACGCCCTGGATAGAAAAGTCCGCACTACAATGACGTCCCATAGGATGCATCATCCGAGATCGTCGGTAATGAGGCTGTACTTGCCGCGGAAGCATGGTGGTCGTGGCTTCTTGAGCGCGCTCACCATGCATAATCGCGAAGTGTGCAGCCTCCGTGATTACTTCCTGGCGAGATCGGATGATCCATTCTATAAGGACGTCATTTCTTGTGATAAAGGACTTACCCCTCTATCCTTAGCCAACGAGCAATGGCAAGACCCGGCAGTGCAGAGCATTTCCGACCGGGAGACCGTATGGAAGGAGAAGGAGCTCCACGGGAGGTTCTACAAGGCTCTACATGAGCCTTTCGTAGACACAGTAGCCTCCCTCCACTGGCTACGCTTTGGTGATCTCTTCGGGGAAACCGAGGGTTTTGTCTGTGCAATACAGGATCAGGTTATTAAGACCAACAACTATCGGAGATACATCCTAAAGGATGGCACCGTCGACATCTGTCGAGCTTGTCGCCATCCCGGTGAGTCACTTAGGCATGTTATCTCCGGTTGTTCGGCGCTTTCTAACTCTGAGTACTTGCACAGGCACAACCTAGTAGCCAGAATTCTACACCAGGAGCTCGCTCTGAAATACGGTCTCGTGGATCAGAAATTGCCGTATTACAAGTACTTGCCGGAAGCCGTGCTCGAAAATGATCGCGCCAGGCTCTATTGAGACCGGGCCATCATCACAGACAGGACTATTCTTGCGAATAAGCCTGATATTGTGCTGATGGACCGGGCATAGTCAGGGATATTTTTGGTCGACATTACCATTCCGTATGACGAGAACCTCGTGAAAGCCGAAACAGACAAGCAAACAAAATATCTGGACCTGGCTCACGAGGTAACCGACATGTGGGGTGGTCTGCCGACCGAAATTATTCCTGTAGTCGTCTCTGCAAACGGGCTAATCCCAGTCAGCCTCTCGGGTCATCTGAGGCGGCTGGGACTACGTGGCGGACCGCTCCAGGTTCAAATGCAGAAGGCGGTGCTCCTCGATACCGCCCGCATCGTCCGCCGGTTTCTTTCCCTTTCCCCCTAACCCTCGGCCGTTTGGTCTCCCCTGCCGAGGGCCTCCATCTGGTTGGGCTTTTATTTATTTATGTACTTTTATATTTATTTTATGTTATTGATATTTATGTATATTTGTCTTTTCATTTTCATTTATAATTATATATTTATAGCACCCAACCAGATGAGAAAACTATATAGATACCCCTAAATAATAATAATAAAATGATACATATAAATATCTAGGCTTGCGTGAAGGAAGATGTATAGACCATACTGCTATTAAAAAGGACCTTAGTAATGAATATTTACGTAGGTTGAATCTAGTTTGTAAAAAGCAACTTAATTCTAGAAATTTATTCAAAGCTATTACACTATATACACTTTTGCCATCCCAATACTTACCTATTCTTTCGGAGTAATTAAATGGTCAACTACAGATATACGAAATCTTGAAATCAAAACTAGGACTACCATAACTAAACACAAATATTTGCATCCTAAATCGGCAATTGAACGACTTACGATAAAAAGAGCTATAGGAGGCAGGAGTCTAATCGATCTTAAAAGGTTATGGGAAGGGCAAGTCAAAAACCTGCAATCTTTCTTTTATGAAAAATCAGCTAATAGTCCGTTACATCAAGCAGTCATTGAATCCGATAACAATTATACCCCTCTAAATCTAAGTAATCAAGGTAATAGATCTACTACAGTAATTGATCATGAAAAAGAAAAGCTATCAAAGTGGCGTAGTAAAGAATTACATGGTAGACATGCACACGATTTAGAACAACCTCACATAGACTTGCTGGCTTCAAATAAATGGTTAAAAATAGGTTCTCTTTTCCCCGAAACCGAAGGTTTTCTTATTGCCATTCAGGATCAAGTAATCAATACAAGAAACTATAAAAAATACATATTAAAAGACCCAAACATGCAGAACGATAGTTGTAGAAAATGCCGCCGCCAACCCGAAACTATACAACATATTACCGGTGCTTGTCCCAGCCTAGTACAAACTGATTACACCCACCGTCATAACCAGGTTGCTAATTACGTTCATCAAAAACTTGCAAATAAATACAGTTTAATCCCGAACCAAAAACTACTGCCGTACTATCAGTATACCCCCAAACCTGTTCTGGAGAGCGACAGTCACAGAATGTACTTTGATAGAGCTATTCTTACCGATAAAACAATTCATTACAATAGACCGGATATAACTTTAATTGATAAATTAAATAAAACAGTATATCTAATTGATATAGCGATCCCAAATACCCATAATATACAAAAAACCATTACTGAAAAAAATCATAAATACACAGAATTAAAAGAAGAAGTAACTAGAATCTGGAAAATGAACAAAGTATATATTGTACCGCTGGTTCTCTCCAGTACTGGTGTGATCCCGAAATGTTTGTCTCTCTCCCTTAAACGATTAGATCTTCCTGAAAATAGTTATATTACCATGCAAAAAGCAGCCATCCTCAACACGTGCCGTATAGTCCGAAAATTTTTGCAAGAAGACATCTCGGATTTTGATTCCCAAATGGATGCGCACTTGGCTTAGGCCCGTGAACATCTCTTAAAAACCAAGATTTTACAAAATCTTGAGAAAGAAAAAAAGCATAATAATAATAATAATAATAATAAGGGACTCCGTGACGGATCGCTCCGGGCTCAAATGTAGAAGGCGGTGCTCCTTGATACTGCCCGCATCGTCCGCCGGTTTCTTTTCCTTTCCCCCTAACCCTTGGCCGTTTGGTCTCCTCTGCCGAAGGCTTCCATCTGGTTGGGATTTTATTTATTTATGTATTTTTTTATTTATTTTATTTTATTGATATTTATGTATATTTATCTTTTCATTTTCATTTATAATTATATATTTATACATCCCAACCAGATGAGAAAACCATATAGATACCCCACATAATAATAATAATTAAGGCGTAGGGAAGTGACGACCCCATCGCCCGCTGACGTAACAGTTATGTGACAAAACTGCTACGTCGGCGCAGTCAGTCAGCATCCTGCCAATAGGTGTGTGCGCCGTACCTAGGCAAAATTGTGGGTGCAAAGGTCCGTTTGTGCATATGACCCAACCACGAAACGGTGCCGGGCTTGGGCGTCTCCCGTTATTTGGCGCCCCTAAAATGGATGATGGCACAGAAAGGAACGCGCATAGGGCCGCTGCCTGGGGGTCGCCGGGGCGCGTCTGGAGCTGGCGCTGGACGCGGCAGCATGCGGGCCGCCAGCCGAGCGCGAGGAGCTGCACGATCACCTAGTAGCCCCTCGCATCCATCATCCCCACCAGAAGGCTTGGTGTCGGCCACAGAACACCTAATATAGCGGAATAGAAATGCCTTTGTTTCAATTTACTTGCGGTACCACTGCCGCCACTAGTCTCCCCACTCCTTGCAGGTAGTTAACACACTCAACTCATATAAGCTAGTGCTTGACAAAAAACTATCCATAAAATATCGACACGAAATAATGTAGGTAATAAATATGTGATAAAATAAAACAGTATAATGATATAATATGAAACGTAAATTTAATGAAATAAACTCAATGCTATAAAAAAACGTAAAGTGGAAAAAATAATTAGAAGTAGTAGAAAAAATACAAGGAGTAAAACTTATAAAGTAAAACAGAAAAAAAAATTTAAGACATTTTCATCATTTCAAAAACAAAATATTTATTTATTTATTGTCCTGTAAAATGCAAATATTTATTTAAAAGTTGTCTTTTTGATACTTTTTGTGCTGAGGTTTTCATCAAATGGTGAAGGCGAATATCTGTATACCTTTCTATAATACATTTTGTTAACAATATTACATGGTTTTCCATTGGTCCCTGATCAAATTGATGAAAATCGATTTTTCTGAATACTTCAATGCCAATGAAGTGACGTAAGGCTGTGAATGTTATCTGCTCTTTAAACTTTTCAAAATTTTGACTAATTGAGCATCTACAGTAAAAGTTTTAAGAATTGATTCAATTTTTTTACAAATCAAAATTACGTCAGCGCTAGGAAAAATAAGACCACCGTTGTCTTTCAACCGTATCAATTTAAAATTGTCTTTAATAGCACTGGAATTCAAAAGAGCCGAAATGCAAGTTCACATTTCCTGCTATGTAGCTTACTACTTCCAAACTAAATTCTGGCATGATATTTTCCGTTTTCAAAACTTCATCAAATTCTTTAATATATTCTTCACTTTCCATTTCTTCTTCAATCATTGGTGATAAAGTAGATTTATTCATTTTTTCCACTGATGAAGAACAAGTCAAAATTGAAATATTTTCAAGTGCCATGCAATTACCACTTTCAAAATTATTCAATTCTAGTTTCACTTATTTTCGATCGTTGAGTTTTTATAACATTTTCCTTTTCGTTTATAATACGTTGCATTTTTCGTTTTCTGGGAGTTTCCATTATGTCCGGATCTAACTGTATCGCTCGCTTAGCAGATTTAGATGACATAGAAGGTGATGGAGATTTTGATGGTGTTACGTTAACTTGGATATCTGAGACCTGAAATAACAAGTTTGGTAACTTAATAGTTACTTTGCAAAAAGTAGCAAGGTGACAATTATAGAATTAAAACATAGTGATTAACAAACATTTTTCCATTCATCATTCTCAAAAAGGGGTTTTAAAGTGGTACGCAACGCACATTAGCGCCGCAAATAGAAATTATTTTAGTTATATTTAGAACATCAATCGACTTCTTCGAGTATTTCGTGAGCAGTTACAATGAAGTAACAAGTTACAGTAACAAAAACAAACCAATCATTTGCGAGCTGAAACTATCATAAATAGATAGAATTTTGTTTGTACTGACTTTTTTTATAGGACAAGGGTGACAAACGAGCACACAGTCCACCTGATGGTAAGTGGTTGCTGCGGCTCATAGACATCTACATCTATCCTCTATTACAAATCAAAATGTAGATGCGTTATCACCCGTGAGGACTAAGATAGAATGCCTCATTTCCAGTAAAAAGTGCCTCCGGCCACCTGCACACACCAAGCGAAACGCAAAGGTAAACCGCTACTTCACGCTTGTTTACTGTGAGATCGTGGTACCACCCCGGTTCGAGATGGCCCATCCGTGCGACAGCAAGACTGACTTCATTTCAGTATAATTACACAAAATGTAAAGCGTTTCGTTTCCGAATTATAAAGTATCAAAAATGTACTAGTGGCGCCACATAATTCCTTTACTGTTTTGCATAATAGAGCCACGGGATGGTTTGTATTTTACTAAAATACTTTATGTATTTAGAAGATACTTACATTTTCAGAAGTAGTCCAAACGTGAATAGTCGGATAATCATGATCCAAAAGATCACGGCGTTTTCTTGTAGGATTAAAATCCTTTTCTTGAAAATGTGCTGAACATATTTTGCTATGTTTAGAAGGGAACCAATTTTTCTTCCTAAACTTCTGGGTTTATCGGAAAACTAAAAAAATATAAGAATATTGATTGAATAAGAAAAAATATATAAAAACTTACGCTTTTTATTTAACAGCAAAATTTATTTCTAAAAATAACCTGCTAGAATTGATTATACAAGGCATAGAATATCTATAGCGTCGATAAACTAAATTCTAAGCACATCCTTAAGTGGCGTCTGGGACCAGTGGCCATACTACGATGCGTTGAAGGGCAAAGTATCGTTCAATAAAATCGATTTAAAAATGTATTATTTTACTCACCAATGATAAGAAACTCCTTTAGAAGAACAATAACCCTTTCCTGAACAGTTGGAACAGTTCGAAACAGTGCAATAGATCATTTTAACCACGTGCACCACGACTAACACGTGACGACGGTTTGTTTCGAACTGAGTCACGAAATTCTAGTAGTTGGCTTTTAAGCCATATACACGGCGCGCGTTCCCGGCTCGTATAACATTTCTACTAGCTATAGCTATATTAAGTGTTCTGTGGGTCGACTGGGTCTTCTCGGACTCAACGAACGACACTCGCCGCTGGTGGAGCACGTCGCATGCGTTGGACAAAATCTATGAACGAAAACGCATTGCGGGCGTACTATAGGGCGAAAGGGGAAGAAACTGTGGGAATAGCGTATAGGGCTCGGATGCATTGCTTTTTTGCTGAGCTGGAGCCTTCTATCCCTGTCGCGGAACAAAACCTGGCAGACCGAGTTCGGTACATCATGCGCTCGAAAATATTTGATGATGCCGAACTCGAACGACTACGACGTGAGGCTATTCCATCGTCGAATGAATCGGCTATGGCTGGAGATGCAGCTCCACATCCGACAGACCAGCATCCACACGTGGAAGCTGCCATGGATCTTCCAGTTGTGGTTGATTCGAACGACGATGAAATAATCTCCCACGAACTAGAGCAAATGAGGAGTATATTGGAAGAGGCGATTTTGGAAACGCGCAGCATCCCTCTCGAAAATCGACCGCGACTTCCCCGCATACCCCTAAGCAAACGAAATCGGGCTGTCGTGAGGGCTCTTAACCCAATGCTGGTGACCTATTTGGAAGACAGCCGGGACCTTTGCGAGACGGACTCAATTCTCTTTGGCGCCGCAGTGGCAGTTTGCCGTATTATTGGCGTCAAACTTCCCATGGCTGAACGCGCTACTACACAAAGTAGCGCCATCCCAGCCTGGAGAAAAAGAATCGAGGACCGTATCGCAAAGGCAAGGGGCCTTATCGGCAGACTGACAAGCTTTAGGTCGGGTAATAATAGACCCAGGATTGTGCTCACCGTTAGTATGGCGTTTGCTGGGACAAATATCAGTTTGTCCCAGCCGGATATCACGCAGAAACTAACGGAGCATAGACGACCTGAATCAAAAGATCGCTGCTTGGGGAAAGCGGATTTACCGAGAGGTCAAGGCGGTTCAACCAGAATCGTCTCTTCCAGAGTGATCAGAAGAGGCTCTATAAATCATTGGATGTGGAGGACCGGATCAGGCTGACATTATCGCATTCTGGCGTGGCCTGTGGTCAGAGCCCGTAAACCACAGCGAGCGCCCTTGGATGGAAGTTGTGGCGAGCCAGGGTGCGAGTGTTACGCCTATGGACCCCATCACCATAACGCCGGAAGACGTGGCTGAGGCGGTCCGTAGGGCCCCGAACTGGAAAAGTCCGGGGCTCGACGGGCTGCATCATTACTGGCAAAGCTTACTGGCTGCGATTATGCATGGTAACCTTTGGCCATTGGCATACTCTTTGGCAATGGCATACTCAGGTGGACTCAGACTGAGCTTAACGCCCTGGATAGAAAAGTCCGCACTACCATGACGTCCGATAGGATGCATCATCCGAGATCGTCGGTAATGAGGCTGTACTTGCCGCGAAAGCATGGTGGGCGTGGCTTTCGGAGCGCGCTCACCATGCATAACCGCGAAGTGTGCAGTCTCCGTCAATACTTCTTGGCGAGATCGGATGATCCATTCTATAATGACGTCATTTCTAGTGATGGGGCTTACCCCTCTATCCTTAGCCAACGAGCAATGGCAGGAACCAGCAGTGCTTAGCATTTCCGACCGGGAGACCGTATGGAAGGAGAAGGAGCTCCACGGGAGGTACTACAAGGCTCTACATGAGCCCTTCGTAGATACAGTCGCCTCCCTCAACTGGCTACCTTTCGGTGACCTCTTCGGGGAAACCGAGGGTTTTGTCTGTGCAATACAGGATCAGGTTATTAAGACCAACAACTATCGGAGATACATCCCAAAGGATGGCACCGTCGACGTCTGTCGAGCTTGTCGCCATCCCGGGGAGTCACTTAGGCATGTCGTCTCCGGTTGTTCGGCGCTTTCTAACTCTGAGTACTTGCACAGGCACAACCTAGTAGCCAGAATTCTACACCAGGAGCTCGCTCTGAAATACGGTCTCGTGGACTGGAAAGTGCCGTATTACAAGTACTTGCCGGAAGCCGTGCTCGAAAATGACCGTGCCAGGCTCTACTGGGACCGGGCCGTCATCACAGACAGGACTATTCTTGCGAATAAGCCTGATATTGTGCTGATGGACCGGGCACAGTCAAGGATATTTTTGGTCGACATTACCATTCCGTATGACGAGAACCTCGTGAAAGCCGAAACAGATAAGTGAACAAAATATCTGGACCTGGCTCACGAGGTGACCGACATGTGGGGTCGGCCGACCGAAATTATTCCTGTAGTCGTCTCTGCGAATGGGCTAATCCCAGTCAGCCTCTCGGGTCATCCGAGGCGACTGGGACTCCGTGACGGACCGCTCCGGGCTCAAATGCAGAAGGCGGTGGTCCTCGATACCGCCCGCATCGTCCGTCGGTTTCTTTCCCTTTCCCCCTAACCCTCGGCAGTTTGGTCTTCTCTGCCGAGGGCTTCCATCTGGTTGGATCTTTATTTATTTGTGTATTTTTTGTATTTTATTGATATTTATGTATATTTATCTTTTCATTTTAATTTATGATTATATACGAGTATTTATAGAAACCAACCAGATGAGAAAACTATACAGATACCCCTACAATAATAATCTTTATTTGCAAGAATATGGTTGTACAATGGTGTTTGAGTATACATAATTCGTTCTACATATTCTACCTTAGTGGTGTGCAAATAATTTACGTCACCCACGGGACGATATAGGTTAGTGGGTATTCTTACACCGCCACTACACGCGTCACTTCAAATATGCAAGGTTATGTTAGGAGATATTAGGCAGGTACTGGCTTAAAAATTTATAAAAGGCATTTGAATAATTTTAATACTAAATATGATCAAACACTGTAAAACTTAAACCATGACATGATTCTGTTTTCTTCTAATGTACCTATTCATAATCATTTTGTCTCTAATTTTCAATTACCTCTTGTTGTAGTAAAATTTTGTTATTCACCCGTTCCTAAAATAGTGTTAGCGTGATAACGAAAATTGAGACATTTGTCATGTTGAAACACATTTAGTTAATTAAACTAATTTAGTAAATCTCATTCAATAAAGTTAACACGTTTCAATTCGTTTCTCTTGATACGAGATTGGCGTATAATGGTGGCCACACGCGGTCAGTTCGACTGATCATTCCAACTGATCAGTTCGAACTAAAACTGTTGATATTTTTTAAAATATCGGATTTTCGATATATTCATACATAAACTTATATGTAAAACTCAGATATTAATATATTTATAATGACCGATATATCGAAACTTCTCTAAAAAAAATATCAATAGTTTTAGTTTGAACTGATTAGTTGGAATGATCAGTTGAACCGACCGTATGTGGAGACCATAAGATTCAAAAATTATTTATAATTTCACTCTTAGTGTATATCCTATGGTCTCGGACAATGATGCTACCGAATAAGTACTGACAATGATGTATAAATCCTAATTATGTAACCTACTTTGCAGATTGTTAACAACTTAGTTTCATAAAACGGTAAAAGACTGATTATAATCTATATAATACAAATAACTTTATAAATACCTACATATTAACTTTATAAATTTTTGTTGATTGGATTTTTAAAATTACTTTCATCAATTTTATATACCTAGGTGAGTGACGGTCACGCGAGTTCAGTGCTTTTTCACCATCCCAAAAGTGCCTAACGTACCTAAAGGAGTATATTTACACTTCAAAAAGGAACATTAATGCTTAAACCCTGTTTTATTTTGTATACTATAACATATAAGCAATGTTTTGTGTGTGCCTTCTATTCATTATGCTTTTAGTTCAGATAAATAGGTACGGGTTTATCAAAGATAACTATTCATTTAGTATTATAGTATATTAATACCAATAATGGGATATCGAATATTTATCAATCATCGTCTCGATTCATAAATATATTGTGACCACTAACATAAGTAGTAACGATCATATAAAGATTTTTTGATAGAATAAGGGTTCAAACGAGCACGCAGTCCACCTGATGGTAAGTAAATGCTATGGCCTATAGACATCTACATCTTCTCATCTTCAGTTAAGAATCAAAATGAAAATGCCTTATCACTTCTGAAGGCTTACATGGAATGTTCCATTTCCAGTGGAAAGTGTCTCCAGTCCTCTACACTCACCGTAAGAAACGCAGCAGCCATAAGCTGCTATTTAACGCCGGTATTAGGTATGTATGAGAGCGTGGCTTTGCCCCATATAATATAGCTGCAACGCGGCTCTAGCACGTACAAAAAAATTTAATGTTCGAGCTAACCGAAAGTCAACTTTTTCAATCGGCGGAAAAAGAGCCATCAAGACGTTTACATTTTGCCACTACGACGCCAACAGTCATTTAACAAGATGGCGTCCACACCTGATGTAATTTTACCGATATAATTTTACCGTTAAGCGATTTGTTTTTCATTCGATCGATTAACGGGTGTACGATTCTAACAGTTGAATAATTTGAGTTAAGTAATTTAGGTAAACATCGATCAAGACTTCAGAATGATTTGATCAAGAATACAAGACGTGCCGCACATTGCCAGTTTGAGTATTCTTTCAATTTATTTTATAATGTTACCCATATACTAGATGTGACTTATCAAAGTGACCTCTTCCAGTCTTCTTCAAATCTGTAAATTGACATTACTTACAATCGGAAAATCAAATCTGGTATCATAATCATCATCATCACCTTCACAAATCCGTAACAGTCTACTGCTAGACGTACGCTCTTGGGAGGATTTGCTTTAATCGTCATGCCTCACAGGTAGATTGACGATCGCAGTGCCAGTGGGTATTTTACGTCTGGCGTGAACATGATGGTATATCGCCATCTACCAGATTTTTCCAGCTTTCCTATACTTGTTGGAAAACCAGAAAAATGGCATAGGCAACTGCATCCTATGACTTCTGCGGGTAGCAATAAGATACAGAATTTTTTCACCTTACATTTATTCTGTGGGAGCGTGGTCCTATCACGGTCGAGCCGACCCATTCGCGCTACAACCATAATATAGTTGCAGCAAGGCTCTACCACGTATAAAGTTAAGATAAAGAAACATTTTAGTAATTCTACTACTTAATATTTTATTAATCTTTTCATAAATGCTTAGGAAAGGTCGTGGGTTATAAGTAAGCTTCACAATCGGCAAATGTTATTAAGGAGTGAAATTCCATGAAACCTCAACTTTTGCCCATATATTTGGCACATGTGTCTTATCCAATACAATTAAACTTATATCGTTTTCTAGTCTATTATCTTTATTATCATTTCGTATAGTTTTAAAAATGATATATGAATTAGGTTAATTAGATCAACTGAATAACATGTTCATTTTTTGCAGATTCTCCAATCTTGGTATACGTCCACGGAGGTTACTGGCAGGAGCTATCGCGGGAGATATCTCGGTATCCTGTGATGCCGCTATACCGCTCTCGGATCAAGACAATTGTGGTTGGGTACGATCTATGCCCTTCCTTTACGCTGCCAGAAATAGTGCATCAGATTGAGAATGCCGCAAGGTTCGTGTTCGAGTACGCGGAGAAAATGGGATCAAGGTCTGTCTTAATCACAAATAGTTACAATTATTGTAGAATAGCCAACCTTGGTAGAACTCATCTTTCTAATTTTTCTTTTTATTTCCTAAATCACGTAAAACATAGTTTATGCAGGCCGCAGCCTCCCTTTGTAAACTAAAATATGAACTACGAAATTGCACATAATATGTAGTAATAACATACATATATGCCGTGGCTAATGGACTTCTTTTATTACAAGGGCATTTCTTTAAGCCCGAGAATATTAAATAAAAAACAAGTTTTGCAAGTTGAACATAAGGTAAATGCACAAGCTATGGACATAGTAAGGACAAAATCAGACAATTTTAATTAATAAAAAAAGTTTTCATTCAATTGTGACAACGCTTAGTGATGAATGTGTATAATAAATGTAGCTTTTACTAAATATTAAATAACTTTGGAAACAATATTTAATTAAATAAAAAGTGTCTTAAGACAATAGTCATAAAGTTAACTAGTAATATACAAGTCATAAAGTAGTAGTAATAGACATATGTTCCAGAACTGGACACCTGGTAATGGTCACTTATTGGTAAGGAAACACAGAGTTTTATTTAAAATTGTTTTTTTAAAGAAATATTCATTAAGTTCGAAATCAACCAAACGATATTGCACAGGTAAAATTTGGTTATTTAGATTACATTACACATGTTCCTTTATTTCTTCTTAGGGATAATTATAAAAATGATCATCTGAAATCAATTCAATTCTCTTACATCAATCACATATGTGAAAATAATATCATAGTTTTGCTTTACAGGCTCAGAAAGAACTCAAAATATCAGATTAATTTATAATTGACACATCATTTTTTGACTTCCGACTTCCCCGCAATCAACGATCTTGTCTGCTTACATTTCTTTAATGCACACGTAACGATAACTCCTTTTAGAGCTTTTGCCATCAAACTTCATAATAACATTGTACGTTAAAACTATCCAATATTTGTATTTTTTTGTTTTGAGGAACTTTTACGTTCTTGTATTATTTTATCATCTTCTGTAACTTCATATGTCTGTATCAGTTCAGTTGTAAATTCTTAATTTTGTCATTACACGTCAAATTAGTGTTCTCTAAATTTCTGTCATTTTCTGAATAATTTTCTACCTCGTTATCACTTTTTCCTGTCTTTTAATTCGTTATATCACAGTTTTTCTTATCACTAGCAGTAACAGATTATTTTTTACTTTTTATACTCTTTGGTTTATATTCGGCATGTTGTTTGTTCTTACTTTTCTGATCCCTTTTTCTCGTTTGTTTTTTAATACGTTCTTGTTTTCTTTTCTTCTTTCTTAGTTCTTTTATATTTTGATCTAATTGATTTTTATCATAAAATTCTTTCCTAGCTTTGCCCGTGATAGCTGATTGTTTTACCTTTAAATATTTGATAAAAATTCATTAAAGAGGTAAGTTGCCAGTAAATAGCAACTCACCTCTTTAATGAATTTGCTAACAGATCGAACCGCTAAGGTATACAGGTTGCTGCACTAGCCACCATATTGAAACTGAAGGATTGACAAAGGTCAACTGTTATATTATATCAGTGCAATACCTGTTGTCTATTGTAACGTGTTCTAGTAAAATGATAGATTTCTTATTTTTGTAGGTTTTGTTAAAAGTGATCATTACTGAGACAGTTCAAGATTAGTACACTTAGCTAATATGGCTACTTTTATATTTAGATTTGGCTGTATCGAGGTGTTTTATTTACCAACACTTTACATTATTGTGTAATATGAATGTAAAAACTGGCTCTCTTAGCCTCTAAAAAGTGGCTATAAGGATAGTGATCCGGGGAATTCAGAGAACGAGCTGGGCCATACATCATTAATTTCCTTTTTTCTTTATTTATAATACTCTAATTATTTTATATACTTACAGAGGCGTGTACTTTGCGGGTCACTCAGCCGGCGCGCACTTGGTGGCTAAACTATTAAGCAACGTCGATTTCTTTGAGGACAATCCAGGATCGCATCGGTTACGAGGAGCTTTCCTTATCTCGGGTATATACGATTTACGGGAGTTAGTCCACACATCTGTCAATGACGCTGTACAACTACCACATGAGTGGGCAATACCACTGTCGCCACTGTTCGATTGCTATACTCATTTGCAGGCAAGAAGAGTAAGAGTGTACATCCTAGCCGCCCAAAACGACAGCCCAGCGTTCAAAAAACAGTCTAGAGAGTTCTACGAACTCCTCCACAACACGTGTCTTATGCAGAATATGTATTTGGAAATAAAAGATGATTTAGATCACTTTGATATTGTCGAATGCCTCGCTGAAGACGATAATTATCTTAAGAATCTGATGGTTCACGACATACGAAAGTACTTGTAAAATCATAATATTTCTTAATACGTTATTTGTACAAATAAGTAAGCTAGATCAGATTTCCAATAATTTATAATTTAAGATATTAAATATATAATGTTAGTCCATAATTAAGTTTATTGAGACAAAATATTATTACTATCATAAATATGTTTAAATATTTTCAAACATACGTAAATTTTAATCACATCGCTCATTGATGTTTCTCTCGGGAAAGTAAAGTTGTATAGTTGCGAAATAATATTTTAATAATCTTAAGTAAAATAATATTGTGCGAAATAATGTTTTAAGAATATTGAGTAACCAAGTTTTATAAATTTACTTGTAAATTTATAAAAACTTGGTTACTACTATTTGATAGTTCTTATTTAAAATTCCTTCGCTTTACGGGGCATATCCCTCACAATTTCTATCTGCCCTCAGCTTTCCATATAGATACTTTATGGAAACTTACCTAAGACAATTATCCAGTCTAAGCCAAACCAATCTCAGAAACAAAACCATTGATTTCTTAGAGCTGGTTTTCCAAAGAAGTTCAATTTTGTTTTTGTTTTCTTCCACTTTACTTCTAGTTAAGTTTTGATTATTAATAATTAAAAAATACGACATAAGTATAACTGTATGTTAACCGTATACGACGTATACGAATTTTAATTTAAAAAAGTTAAACTACTAAAGTAACTTAATCATACTGTTTGTAACTACAGAACATATAACATATTATATTTATAATACGTACTAGGCAATCTTGCAGTTAAACCACGAATAGCTTGGCCGGGGAAGAACATGCTCTCATAGAATACCAGCGCAAAATTGTAGCTTTATAATATTTTAATTCTTAATCGAGATAAGTTGTCTATAGACCACAAAATTCATTTACCGTCAGGTAGACTATGTGTTAGTCTGTCACCCTTATTCTTTTAAAAAGAGGAAAAGCTGAGGTAAAAAGGAAATAGTTTAAAACTAGACGTCCCCAGGTTGATCGTCTATTTATTTCTCTTATTTATTCGCCATAAATAATCCACTTCTGGATATGGGCCCTTCTCACTACCAGAAGAATTCGCCATAATTATCAGGCTAGGCTGCGGGATCAGATAATATTGCACGAATATACGAGATAATACCGCCACCGATCTGATAGAGACCAAGAGGTCATTTCGAGCTTTTTTTATATTCGAACCCCGCTGTATTCGTTATCCCAACTATAAGTAACAATATTATATTATTATATTACAAGATAATTATTCATATGCATTTTCAAATGATGTAATTTTTTATATAACTAAGGTGATAAACATAGTCCATAACAATACAAATCAAAATGCAGAATGCGATGTCTTTCCTGAGGACAATCAAGATTTATGTATGTAATGTTTATTAGTTTCTATTATGTAACATTTCTACGATTAAGTAATTAAAATTTATTAAATTTCACATAGATGCCTTAATATTAAGTAATTATATACATAAAAACATAAACTGTCACGCCTGTTACCCAAAGTCTAAAGACTTTCATGTTCGACATAATAATATTATGTAAAATAATAAATCGTATTATCGTTATTATTATTACATAATTTATTTAATTACTGTTACAGATATTATTATGTAACATAATATTATTAAAATGTGATCTCGCCAGATTTCAATAAAGGCTTATTTACTACATTATCTTTTTATTTATTCAATGAATGAAGTCAAATAGTATCTATTACGAGGGGCACATTGAAATGATCGGGAATAAGAAAAACCACATGCACAGTATAGCTAAATTGTATTTTATTGTTTTTCGAAGTATTCTCCGTTCAACTTAATGCACTTTTTTATTCGTGCAAATCAATCATTAAAACAGTAATTCCAGTCTGAAGTTGATGTTAAAATATGGTTGATTTGTACGCTGCCACCGCTACTTCGGGGTTTTCAAACCTTTGACCGCGTAATAAATCTTTCATTCTAGGGAATGTAAAAAAATCGTTTGGGCTCAGGTCAAAACTGTACGGAGGATGGCTCATCAGCTCAACATTTTCTTGCTTCAAAAAATCATTTGTCTTCCGAGTCGTATGGGAGCTCGCATTATCGTGATGTAAGATGATGCGACATTTCGGGTTTTTTTTCGGAATTCTACTATCATTTCTGGCATAAAAACCATGATATACCACTTAGCGGTAACCATTCTGCGTTCCTGTAAAAGAATTGTAGCAACATGCCCCTTTTACGAGACAAAGGTAGCGAACATTTTCTTTGCCACGCTGCGGGAGTGAACCACTTTCGTTGGTTTGACCTCGTCTTCGAAGACCCAAACTGCTGACTGATGTTTTCTTTCAGGTTCGTATGAATAAATCCATGACCCATCACCTAAGACGATATTATAAACGGCATTTGACTTCCCTCCGTTGAAGCGTTGCAGAGTACTCCGGCACCAATCTACACGAGCCGCCTTTTGCTCTTCGGACAAATTGTGGGGAAGCCAGCGGGAATCTAGCTTTCTTACACACAGCTCATTATGTAATATCGACTAAATTGCAGGCATTCCGATACTGGTAACAGCCCGAATCTGCTCGTATGTCACATGACGGTCATCTAATATAATAGTTCGCACAGCTGCGATGTTTTCAAACGTGACCGCTGTTCTTGGTCGACCTGCAGAAGAAACAGTGCTAAGTGACACACGACCGCGTCGGAAGTCGGCATACCAGCGGTGTATTATCGTTTGACTCGGTGCTTCAACATCACAAATCGAAATAAGTTCGCTGCGACATTTATCTTAAGATAACCCGCGACGAAAATTGTGATAAATTATGGCACGGAAATGTGTACGCGTGAGCTGCATTTCTGTTAACGACGTGTCAACTTTAAACCAAAATAGTTTTTGTTTTTAAACAATTTTTTTTATTGTTTGAATGTCATTAAGATTCTATCATTGAGAGGCCAGTATTCAAATTTAAAAAAAAAGATTTTATTGTAACTCAATCCGAAATATGCTATTCCCGATCATTTCAGTGTGCCCCTCTGTACTGACCTTTATGTATAATGCCTATTTTCTTTTATAACTGTAAGATGAAATTGTGAGTAATTTTCTGTATTAAATAGCAAAAGGAAAACACGAAAGTGATAGATAAATTGAAAAAATAAAGCATAGTAACAACCTACATAAGTCCCACAGCTGAGCAAAGGCCTCTCGAGTTACTAGTATTTGTAGCCTTCTTTTTTTATAGGATAGGGTGACAAACAAGCACACAGTCCACCTGATGGTAAGTGGTTGCTGTGATCCATAAACATTCTATCCTCGATTACGAATCAAAATGCATATGCGTTGTCACTCGTGAGGACTAAAATGGAATGCCTCGTTTCCAGTAAAAGGAGTCTCCGATTCTCTACACTCACCATACGAAACACAGTAGCATTAAGCTGCTATTACTTTACTATTTGTTTGAGATTAGTGGCAGGTATCCACGGATTGTAGCTATTTACAGTCAGTTGGACTGTTAAAAGAAAACTTCTTATGAAGTAAAATAAAAATTATTATACACTAGATTTACTCGCAGCAGTGCTCGCGTTTATTTGAAAGCCCACAACTTTCTATTAATGAAATTATTTCCACTAAAATTGCGTGATTCGCATGATATTACGTGAGGTGAAAACTTTGCTGTAAAAAAACCTTTGCCGTAGCAATACGCGGGCGAGCTGCGTAGTAGATCATGGGAAAAACATACCGTACTTAAATGTAATCCCGCTACTTCCAAAGGTTGTACCAGAGATTAGTTGTTATTGAAAATGCTACTTTAAATGGATACTGTATCCGTCCTAAATTAAACGGTATATTGTTTGGTATAATAGGAATGGGTGATTGAAAAAGTCTCTCTCTTTGTTTCTCTCGTTAAAACAGTTGTGACCTTTTATGCTATGCATATATATTGCGATTCATCGACCTACAGCTTTTATAGTCTATTATTAGTCGCAGTGCATGCCAAGGTAATTTCAATTTATTTCTGAAGAGGCAATCGAACCGAACCTTAATCTTTCTTTAACCGAACCATAAACCGCTTAGAGACTGTGTAGCGGGAATAACGGTGCTACACAACAGTCTTGCTCGTAGACATCGGCGGAAAAGCGACCGGATTGACAGCAAAAGTATTACTCGCGAAATGAAAGTCTAGCGGTGACTGTTATTGCGCATAATTGGCCGTATTGCGCATTATTACGTACAATTGGCTGGGCATATCGTTCCTACACGCCGACTGGCTCTCCAGTCGCATTCCGTCCCCCGTACTACATGCGCAGCTTTCCCTTCCACGTTCCGTTCAGCGCTAGAGATACTTTCCGCAATTTATAGCCGCATTTTGTTTTCCATATAGATTACAAGATCAAGCATCTTCAGTTTTCACCGTGTCGCTGTCGAACAGCGATAAATAATTTCTGCTATTAAAAGGATTATTGCATATAAAGAACCCAAACGGTATAGATAACACGACATATACGAAAAGAGTACCGTTTCGGAGAATGCAGGAACGATATTTCTCGAACGATTTAACCGATTTTCATGCGGTTCACGGTAATCGACTTCGTTTTTTTAACTAGAAGAGGTGATTAAATTATAGTATTGATTAAAACCAGAGTGTCAAATTAATTCCAAGAAAACCAATTTTTGCAAATTAAAGAACTTTTGCGGTTTTCTTAGAGTCTACTGTGCCGATTCGGTCTAAATTCACAGAAAATCTAAGTTCTAAAAACCGCTTTTCGATCGGACACTCCATTACAAAGTTATGAGATATTTATATGTTTACACACTTATAGGCGCACAGATACACGCATACGCACACGCGCACGCGCACACACACGAACACGCAAACGCACACGTACACATACACTTACAGGCACACGCACACGCATTTTTTTTAAATCTTTGATTTCATAGCAGGAGGTCAAAATGATATTACTAACGTTACGAGCTTGAGGTTCGTGACAATAAAAATTGCCGATAGGATTACCTTAATTAACACTTTAAT